ATCTAGTCCTGGTTTGAAGAGTCCAGGTGTTGTCGTTTTTGAGCTGGACCAGGTCTAATGTGGTCCAGTTGCATAAAAACGATGAAAAACAAACTTTGTTGAAGTTTCACAAATCAGAGAAAGGTTTCCCAAAGCTCAGACTTAGTTTTTATTATTCTTGTATTAGTGTAGAATAATCTAGTCCAGATTTGAAGAGTCCAGGTGTTGTAGTTTTTGGGCTAGAGCAGGTTAAACACGCGCAAGGTAGTGAAAAATTAGTTGTAGTGTCCCTTTAGTCATTTCCCGAATCGGAAGTTGGAATCGGAAGCCAACTTCAGCTTCGTCATTCAGACTCTGTGACAATTTTACAAACTTAAGATTAATTTTCCAACGCCTTTCTCACTATGAACTAGGGCTGCCATTATCCAAGAATTGTTGGTTAATCAAATAAACTAAACAACTAATTTTCCTGTGAAAATCATATTCCACAAGTTTTTTCAAATTTATTTTTTAAAGTCAACATGGCGTTTACAGTAKATCACAAAGCAAAATGTGAAGACTTTCAAAATATTACTTTAAAAGCTTCCAACATAACAAATAAATAAAATGAATATTATTATTTATGGGTTTTAAAGTGCCTGTGACATGCCTATGCTTCAAATGGAAAAAGTCAAAGAAAATATCATTATACTTGAGAAAATTGGCATGGTACACAGGATTTTACCCATTTAGTCACAATAACTGGCATATTTTCTTTTGAATTTCGCTCGGCCAAAGTGAAACAGGAAGTGACATCGAAAGGGAACTCTTTAATAAAATAAAATCTCTGGTCTTTGTTTATTAAAACAAAATTATTTAAACTTTTGCTCTTCGACTCTTTTTGATAGCGACTAAAAAATAATCTAAAGAAACATCAGATTCTTCCCCACAGTCTCTGTTGTTAGCTGTTGTAACAACGCTCCGTTTACATGCAGACATTCCCCTTTGACATCACTTCCTGTTTCTTCACATGCAAATATCTCAACAACCGTTCATCTCAGAGGCATGAAATTTGTTTTGTAACATGCTGTCAATGTTGTTTTTCCAAAAATGCATTCATGTTTATTACAAAAATCTGATGTCACAGGCCCTTTAAAAGAAAAAGGCTGAATATTCAGCTTATTGTACAGATTATTGGTAAGAACTGCATCAAAAAGAAATGAGAGTTGTTTTTGTAGGAATGTAGTCACGTGGCTTTACCCATTAAATTAAGGAGACAAATGAATGCAACGCACTAAATGTAATAAGACTGACCTGTAGAAGTGGTGGGAGTTAAACAGCACTTCCTGCCTTTCTGTTAATTTTCCTGCTAATTTGATTCAGTTTATTTTTTGACTGTGTTGCATTAATGATAAACATTTTGACATTTAAAGTTTACATATTTGTTTCAGGCAATAAACTATGTGTGTGTGTGAGTTTAAGACTGGTCATTTTTCAGATACATTCTTAGTTGATGGGATTAATACAAGGWTTTTTTGCACTGTTAAATGTCTGTACCTAATGTTCAGTTTATCTTAAACTGAAAAGGGAAAAACTTTATGCTTAAAGTTAGAGCATGATATGATTGCTCTTTACGCATCTAACAGAAATTACCACTGAGAAGCTTTTTCTTCCATCTTGTGTCTGCAGTACGAATTTTCCCCTCAAACGCTGTGTTGCTACGGTAAGCAGCTCTGCACCATTCCTACTGGAGGGACGTACTACAGTTACCAGAACAGGTATTTACAAAGGTTTATTTTTGCACTCGTTAATGGTTTTGCTCCACAGTAGATGCTAGTACTATCTACCTGCATTTTAGTCTGAGTAAATAATATGTGTATATGAATTATGTATGTTTTAAAGGGTATAAAACTGAATAAATGCAGGTCTTTAACGGTGTTGCCGATCCCCTGGACGATCTGATTTGCTCATTATTAGCTACTGAAGGGTTTCTGTGGTTCTTGTGCTGCTGACTTGCTATCAGCAATAGTTGCTCCTGGTCCTGTAACAGTGTAACGATGCAAAATGAGTTCTTCACAGTTAATTATTGTCAAGTTTCCAACATCATTCCTTAAATACAAGACTTTAAAACTCAAAGACCAATGCAAGAAAGTAATGTGATTGGTGTWTTTACCTGTGTTTGCATAAAGTCTAAATTATTTCACTGTTTCTGTCCCTATTTCTTGTAATAATAAAAATGAAGTTTTAGTAAAGGCTTAAACAGCCTTGCCCATCATTACATTTCATTTGCAGTTGAGATGTGGCACCTTATTGTCCATATTGTGTGTTTTTGCTCCTCCTGCTGTATAAACTGAGCAACTGCAACCCTTTCCTTCCCTTCGTCGGCCACTTAGAAGAGAAACGGCATCAGGCTSTAGCGACAGTTACAATCTGAATAAGAGCTGAAGGATTTCCTGCTCTCTGTTATAAAACGTGCACACTTGGTGCACAGTCGACTTAGAAAGTCATAAACCAGCTGCTCAACATCAAATCACAATTTAAAGAGGAACTTACCCCAAAACCAACTTTTTTTGCAGAAAAACTGACTAAATTGTGCCCACATGGTAATGCCTTTCTATTTATGACTAAAGTTTAACATTTCTGTTTAAAATAGTTTAAATCTACAATATTTGATCTAAAAACGTTGTGCTGCTCTCTTTGGGTTTAACTATGTCTACTACTTTTCATATAACTTTATTGTTTACAAGTTAATCCTTTTTTAGAAAAATCAAATGTTTTCAGAATTGTTAGCTTTTCAATTTAAGCTATCTTCTCTCGTCCTGGCCACACCTCCTCACTCATCCCCACACTTTAGGCAGTGCTCCTCAGTGTATATTTTCACAAGGGGGGGATTAGTTACACTTTAATTCAATTCATTTTATTTATTTATAAAGCACACTTCAAACTAAAAGCAGCTCAAGGTGCTGTACAAAAGTATACACAATAAACCCACAATAAAAACAAATGCCTTTCTCTCCCTCAACATGGAGGAAAAGAAAAAAAATCTGATCAGTTTAATCAGCAGACCATCTGCTAATAGATGAGCGGCACCAAAGCTCTTGTGTTTTCTGTCTTCCAGCTACATTGTTACATATTTAATGTCTTTTTTTACAGGTATCATTTCTGTGAAAAATGCTTCAATGAGATCCAGGGGGACAGTGTGACCTTAGGAGATGATCCTGCACAACCGCAAACGTAAGAACAAACAGTGTTAGTAAAGCTTTAACAAATTATATTTAGAATAAAGATGCAGTTATTAAAAAAGGGTTTTAAATGAAATATTGAAATCTTCAGCTGTCCAAATTGTGTTCAGATGTTGCTTGCATGTTGATCTGAGAAAATGCTTGTTTTTAACATTTACTTAAATGCATTGACTTAGATTAAAAAAAMTTATTCATGTTTTTCTCTTCATTTAATGGACACTTCAGCATGATATCAAAAGACCAGTTTGAACGCAAGAAGAACGACGTACTTGACCCTGAACCGTAAGTAGACTCCACCTTTAAATTGGTTTGATTTGATTTATTTATTTAACAGGAAAAGATCACTAAAAATCAAGCCTGACTCAGCATAATT